TTCTTGAGAGCCTTTACAAATAAAAAAATTTCGAAATATGTACATATGTACATACATACGCAGCCACATAACTTGATTTCAAGAGAAACGAATTTTCATTGGGCACGTTCAGAAGGCGCAACAGCTCAGTAAATGGTGCGATTGTACCTTCTGAACGCGTTGTTGCGTACTTTTGATCAACTGAATAGTTGCGTGTTAGATGATCGTAATATTTTTCTGATCATTTGAGAAAACATGTTGGTGTGTACCTTTGAGAGTTAAATTTGACAGCTAATGTATGAAGTCGTTCAGAAGACGCATAACGATCACTGATTTGTTTTTTTAGCAACGGTTGCGCTCAACTGTTGCGTCTTCTGAACCTACCCATTGATAGCTTTTTTTTGATAACACTGTGCGACAGCTCAAATCGGTATTGAGTAAAACCAAATGCAAGAGATAGTTTTTGAATTTCATTGAGTTTTTTTTAATAAATACTAAAATTGGGGGTGTATGAATGGCGAAAGAAAAACTTTATCCGATTTTTTTAAATCGAAACTACATTTTTACATATGTAAATGCATACATAAATATATTTAATATGAAATTGAAATTTTCACATCAATTTGCGCTATCTTCAAACCCATGGTTTCAATTGTACGCATACCGTCAGGGTTTTCCCCACAACTTTGTTTTGCTGCAGTGAAGCGACAGAGCAAGTGACGAGAAAAAATATATGCGGACACTTATATATGAATCTATGCACATACGTATCTATGCACATACATACATATGTACTTAGGTAAGTATATCAGCATTTTAGTTGAAAGTACGTTTTGCTCGTCGCTCTCTTCATCGCTCTACTACATTCCTGTCCTTAGTTTTATTCAGATACCACAAATGTATGTTTTCTTCGAAAATACTGAAGTACTACCAGTAGAGTACTCTACTGTCAAATACCTTTTACTCGCAGTAGTTGCGGAAGGCAAAGTAAATACTCTGCGCGTCTTGCTGTTGATCGGTAGTTTACGTACGCTTGCAGAAACTGATTTATGCTTACTCATACTTGACCCGAACGCTGAGAGTAAAGGAGGGAAAGTATTTGCGGCGATCGGATGTCTTGTTAGGCCGTTTAAATGGAATTGCGCAGGAGTTTAATATGTACATATATGTATATATGGAGAATATGAGCAACACCTTCAACAAAAAAATAGCCAAAAATCAACGATAAGCCCTAGGTACTTCAAACTTGCACTTTATAAACTAAAAAAAAAATTGAACGGAAACAACAAAACTGCGTACTCAATACCTTTCTAAGGAACCTAATTAAAACAATCGGAATTTTTACGAAAAGTTGTTGGTTTTTTTCAAATATTGCACAAAGTTTGAAAGTTTGAAACTTGGATGAACACGGTTTTTGTTAAAGAACAAACTACATTTTTATGAAAAAATAATTAAGATTAAATAATAATCAAATAAATATTAAAAACTTTTTAGAAGAGAACTGGCTGTTCTATTAAATAATTTTAAAAAGTACTAAGTCATTGTTATTGTGAACTGAAAATAAAAATCAAACTAAAAAGCGAAGTATACAATCATAAACAATATTTAGAAAACTAGTTTTCTATTAAACTTTTAACAAATTTGTAATCGTTATAAGTATAATCTCTGACCAAAAAATTTTCATATATGAAGGCTTAAGATTTTTTTAATGTTTCGTTTGCCATCTTTGATCTGTAATTTTGAATTCTAAGTAAATGACTTTAGCTTCGTATTTAACGAACCAGAAAACCCCCAGATACCCAGTTTCATAGAAATCTTACCAATTTTTTTTTTTTTAATTTCGTTTGCCACGTTGGATATGCCATTTTGAATTTTAAGTAGATGTCTTTATACTCGGTAATCAGCGACCCAGAAAACCCACAGATACCCAGTTTCAAAGAAATTACCGATTCTATAAATTTTTCGTCCGCGATATTCTTTCATTTTGAATTTTTGGTAAATGACTTCAGATTCATAATCAGCGACCCAGAAAATCTCCAGGCACCCAGTTTCATAGAACTCTACCGATTTTTTTAAATTTTTCGTCCGCCATATTGGATCCGCCATTTCGAATTTTTGATAAGTGACTTCAGATTCGTATTTAGCGACCCAAAGGTCCCCTAGATAAGAAGTGGTGTAAAAATCCATCAAAGAGTATTTGTTTAAACAGTTTCGTCCAGCTAGATTTGCTATCCGAACCACTGTGGTACGTCCCCAACAGTTATAATCCGAATATCAATTTTAACGTGACGACTTGCTCCTTCACGACTGTTACGATTCCAGCCATGATCTGGTTTTGCAGGCAGTAAGTATAGCTCTGTATGGGTATGCGAGCTTATAATAGTTCGTAACGATTGTAGTAAAAAGAAACTTGCAAAATAGAGAAAATATTGAGAGAAAGCTGAAAGTTTTTACTCTGTAAATTTTTACTCTAAACAATTTGCCGTTGGATTAGCATAAGGGTAATTCCGTGTCAAAAGGACCAATGGTTGGACTCGACCCCTTTCGATTTGGATGAAATTTGGTCAATAGTTTTCTTTCAACCTATAATGAAGTTCCATCAACAGCGAAAAAATTAAAACAAATATTTGCAAAAGTTATGCGAAATTCAAAATTTCACTATTTTTCCAGTTTTTCAAGTTAATTTTTGTAATATCTCAAAAACTATTATAGCTACAAAAATCATCTTGGACTCGTTTTAAAGAGGATACTTGGGGTTTACAAAACAATATATATTTAAAAAAAAATTTGAAATACCAAAAAATTGCAAAATGCAAAACTTTCAAAATTGAATAAATCAAAAACTAATATTTTTTTTCCTCAATTTTTTTGCTTGATACCTCTGCATGTTCTTAGAAGATCATAAAATTGTCACGGAGGAAAAAAAAATAAATCACAATCTATTAATAAAATATTATCAAATTATTTCTCAATTTTACTATTTAGGGCAATAAGTATTTTTTGGTAAAAAATTGGAAAACAAATGAATAAGAAGTGAAAAATATCCTAGAAAATCTTTTCGTGGATAACTTTGTTGATGGTATTATATCCAATCAATGGACTCAAGTAGATCGATGCACCCTGGAGACGATTCTAAAATCAGCTGACGATTTTTTTTTTGAATATATTCCAAAATTACGTCAACACGATTTTGTAGCTAAACAACAAGCCGAATATTTTCGAACTTTAAAAAATAATCTAGAGATTGGAGAAGTACTTGTTGCTGCCGATTTCTCTGAAAATTTTTCATTTTTACTCCAAAATAGTGTTCAAGGAGCATATTGGAATAATAGACAAGCCACAGTTCATCTATTCGCTTGCTATTACAGATCGATTGATGAGAGTGGAAGTAATATCGTGCCTCTTAGCTTAGTAATAATTTCAGATAACTTAACTCATAATATTACTGCAGTTTACAGTTTCCAAGTGACACTAACGTCATTTCTTAGAAACAAAATTCCCAGAGTATCAAAAATAATTAATTTTTCTGATGGTGCAACAGCTCAATATAAAAATCGGTATAATATAGCAAATTTGCTATGCCACTCAAAAGATTTTCATATAAAAGCTGAATGGCATTTTTTTGCAACTTGCCAAAGGAAAAGTCCAAGGTGGTTTAGATGGGACAGTTAAAAGATTAGCTAGCCGAGCCAATCTACATCTCACATCTGAACAACAAATTCAGACACCCGATCAATTATTTAGATGGGCGAAAGCAAATATTCTAGGAATTGATATTCATTTTGTGTCAGATGAACAGATTCAACTTACTGAAAAAAAACTGAGCAACCGGTTCAAATATGCTTTACCAATACAAGGGATACGTCGTTGTCATGCCGCTGTTCCTACTTCAAATAAATGTATAAGAATTAAAATTTTATCCGCATTTAGCGAAGGATAGGATTTCCAAATAAAAGATATGAACATCAACGAGTTTGTGGAGGAACCAGGCATTATAACGAGGTAAAAATTGATATTTTGACTATTAATATTTGATCCCCATTCAATTTTACTTTCAGTATTAAAATCATTTTAACTTTTTTCAGATAAAAACGAAGGAATGGGGCACCAATGTCAGGAAAAGGAGGGGGGAAAAAACGTCTTATATGAGAAATGATATGAAATTCATCATAATAAAAAAGCAACTATACTAATGTAATTTGTTGTCCTACTCGCCTTACACTTAAGACTTATTGCCCTAAATAGTAAAATTGAGAAATAATTTGATATTTTATTAATAGATTTAAATTTTTTTTTTCCAAAACTCAAAAATCAATATCTTACAAACAACACCTCCGTGAAAATTTTAGGATCTTTTAAGAACATGCAGAGGTATCATGCAAAAAAAATTTAGCAAAAAAAAATATTAGTTTTTGATTTATTCAATTTTTCAAAATTTTGCAATTTTGCAATTTTTGATTTTTCGAATTTTTTTAATATATATAGTTTTGTAGCCCCAAGTATCCTCTTTAAAACGAGTCCAAGATGATTTTTGTAGCTATAATAGTTTGTGAGATATTAAAAAAATTTACTTGAAAAACTGGAAAAATAGGGATAATTTGAATTTCGCATAACTTTTGCAAATATTTTTTTTAATTTTTTTGCTGTTGATGGAACTTTATTATAGGTTGAAAGAAACCTTTTGACCAAATTTCATCCAAATCGAAAGGGGTCTAGTCCAATCATTGGTCGTTATGACACGGAATTACCCATAATTAAAGCTGCCAAAATTTAACAAAAAAAATTGTAAAACTAGCAACTACTTGCATGGAAAACATCTGCGTACTTTTTTGCATATTTCCCTCACTGATAGAAATGTTGGCTTCCGCTCAGAAATCGGGTAATCGCGATCACTAGATATTTTTTTGTGAGGAAAACGCACGTACGTATAAGAAAATGCGCACGGTTTTTTTCTAATTCGCCACTATCATTAACTGAGTTTTCAATAATCTAACATAAGGCTTTGGTTTTTACAAACTTACCGGCAGTTTGAAATCCGATTACAACAAGTAAATGCAGTACAATTGAAGCTAGAGGTGCAAGCGATATAAGCGAACTTAGTGGTACTAGTTTAGCCAACGGTCCATCATATGATTCTGTTTTGCCGAAAAAAAATGCGAAGACCGATATCAAACCCAAATCAATGTACAAATACTGTTTATCCGTAAGGTTGGAGTCAATAGAATACAAAATCATTACTGATATAAACTGCACCATGGAATACGCAGCCATGTACTTAAATACACCGAATGAAGTAACTAGCGCCGCTCTACCTTCTTTTATCACATTTGGCACGCACGCAATTGTCGCGCTACGAGAGGTGAATGGAGATGCAATGGCAGATTCAGTTTCACTCAGCGAAATACCGGTATGCGCAACCTTTAAAGCACCACAGTCATTAGCACCATCTCCACACATTGCAACACAGTAGTCAAGCTGCTGAAGCTCCATAATTAAAGCTTGCTTTTGTTCCGGAGACATGCGCGCAAATATAGCACCACGTGTCACAAAGTTTTTAAGTTCTTTAGGAAAGTTTTCTCGCAAGATCTGCCAAGTTCTACCAACCATGGCGAATCTGTAATTCTTCCGCCAACTTGTATTCGCATCACAGGACATCAACTGATGGTGATCTGCCTTTTCTTTACCCGAGACAGGTAAGCCTACTTCCGGATCATGATGTGTCCACGTATCACATGTCTCAACACTTGCTAGGCTGTTGCTATTTGGTAATGTAATTGAAACGCTGCATAGAGAAGAAATATCTCCATTATATCTTTGGTAATCGCCACCAGCATCGCAATAATCGGCGGAATTGTTGACTGAGGATTCCAATGATACAATTTCCGTACCATTAGTTAACGAATCCTCACAACCACCCAGTTCAAGCGTATAATAAAGTTCATAAGTATGTTTCTCATTTTCTGGTAGATGCTTAACGTTGACGGTCACGACTGCCTGCTGCGGGGACACTATACCACAGTCGCGCGCCACGCTTATTGCAGTCAAAATATTATCTCCAGTAATCATAACCGTACGAATATTTGCTGCAGTAAGTGATCTTATCACTTCACTTGTGTCAGGTTTTAGGCGGTTTTCCAATACAACGAAGCCAAGGAACTCAAGTTCGCATTCGACACTTTCACGTGACAAGCGTTGTGCTTTAATATAACTCATTTTGCGACTAAGTGGTTTATAAGCTATTGCAATGATACGATATCCTCGCTTTGCGAAATAGGCCAATTGCTGAGAATAGTTTTCCGGCAAGCTACTTGGTTGACAAAGTTGCTGCAACATCTCAGGAGAACCTTTACAATAAACATTAAAATTGCTTCCACTAAGTCGGCGAGTTATAACAGACATTCGTTGTAAATTAGAAGTAAAGGGAAATTCTCGAACTAAGCCATGATCATTGTTCGCTTCACCGTTGAGCAGCCCGACATCAGCCAATAAATCGTCGAAGGAAGATTGACGCTGAACTGAGACATCGGCAGTATATTCCACACCATCTATTATTATTCAAACCAAAAAAAGCTCAGCTTAAAATACTTTTTTGTTTTTTTAGTTGTAAATCACCTCTTTTTGGTTGCCGTACAATTGTGGGATGAATTAAACCATATTTTTGACTATCTGGTATATTTTTCTGGTCTTCTAGAGTCCAGCCGGTCGATTCGAACATTTTAAGATCCAATGGATCGCCAATCAGCTTGCCATTCATAATGGTTATAGAATGGCAGGTTACCATACCAAATAGAAAATTATCATACGGTAAGCGTTCGATTTGTTTGATAGGCATTTGAAACTCGTTTGTTACTGTTTTTGGCACGACACCCCACATGTCCAACCCCTCTTCAGTTAACGTACCAGTCTAAGGGAAAAGTAAACAAATATATCATTAGTTTTTACAAGAATTTCAGCAGTCAAGTACACACAACAAGCACCTTGTCAAAACAGCAGCAGTCAACACTACCAGCAACGTTTATGGAACGCGGCGATATGCAATAGATGTTTTTCTTCTGAAGACGTTTTTGTGCATAAAAGCGACCGACAGTCATAGCAGCTGGCAGCGCAGGTGGCACAACAATTGTAATCAAGTCCAGAGATTCAACAACAATTTTTACTGGCTCGACGCCGCGCATTATCTGCAAGAACTAATGTGTTACTAAAACAGGAAACATGAACAATATATATATGGATGTAGAACGTGCTGTTTCTGGTATCCACCTTATATTTTTATAAGATGTTTGCCGGCATTGTAAACGGCAGATATCGGCAGATATTTAAAAAAGCCCTAAAGATCCCGGAAAATAAATCGCGAAGAATCCCCGAAGTCTTGAACAAACTCAGAAAAAGACGAGATATTCCATGAAAATTACGAAGAATTTAAGAAAAGCTCGTGAAAATCTTGGTACCTAAAAGTTTTCCAAAAGTAATGCATGGAGAATATCTTCGCTCGTTCCCGAAACGTCCACAGAAAATCTTGGAAGTCTTAAAATAGCGAAAGATTATGAAAATGTAATTTTCAAATCAATGATTAAAAAATAAAAAGCAAAACGACCCGTAAATATCAGTTGGAAAAATATCAGGCAAGCTTTGTGTGAAGTTTTTTCCTTAAAAAAGTAACCGATATTCCTTGCTTTAAATAAAAAAGTAAAGTTTTTATAATTTACTAGATCGCCCTCACCCGCTTCGCTGAGTGTATGAAATTTCTACGTGCTACATAGTGTCATTTATTTCAATAAAACTGAACATACTTAGCCTATGCCAAAAACAGGAGATTTTAAATTTTTATAACATATTTTTATAAAATATTTACAAACTAAAACTTTCTTAAACCTCTCTCTTGTGATACTTTTTCTTCCTTACATGTAGTTTAGAAATGATGTGCTTTCAACCATATCGTAATAATTCATTGAAATTATTGAATAGTTTGAACTTAACTGTTTAAACAGTTGGCAACCTTTTTAAACCTCTTTCGTATGACACTCATATTGTGATTGATACATATCGCTACCTAAAGGTGAAAAGGAGCCAAGTTCAATTTTTTCGAAATTTTGTTTTTGATGCAGAATGGCAGGTAATACGTAACTACATCGATTATTTGTCTTGGCATCTTTTCATCCTTGGGTGACGATATGTATGTATTCAAATTACCTAGTTCCTTAAATTCAAGTTGAATTTGAGTATTCAAACATATGGAAACCCTGCAATACATATATAGCTTGAAAACAAAGCCTTTTCAATGATCTTTTGTTTAATACCTACATATATTGTAATATTTCATTTAATTTATAATATATGTAATTGTATTTGAATGTAGTTTTAAAACAGGTGACAACCCCCTTCAAATATCCCAGAAAATTCTATACGTACAAACTCCTACATTTGACACTTTATCTTGAGTATAATTAAATTAAATTCGACTCTTAAAACAGGTGGCAACCCTCTTCAAAATATTTTCCAACTATAACCCTATTAAACCCTTTTCGTCTGACACTCATATTGCGATACATATTCTTATCACCTAATTCCTTTAATTAAAGTAGGATATGATTATTCAGACAGGTGGAAACCCTCCTACACCTAGTTAAGAACTAAAACCCTTATCAAAAGCCTTTCGATTGCTACCCATATTGTAGTGATTCATTCAAATTGTGAAACACCTCAGTAATATTCTAAATGTTCAATCTGGAGGTTTCTAAACAATCTTTCGTTTGACACCCATATTTTAATTTTTCAGTCCGGTTGCGAATAATTAATTTATATTTGTGGCAACCCTTTCCGAAAAAATTTCTTTTTTAAGCCTCTTGGCATCAATTTTTTAATATAATTTTAAAATAAGTAATTCTCTTAACTTAATTTGAATTTGATTTTTTAAACCGGTGGCGGGCCTCCTCCATGAGCATGGAATTGATTTTATATATCTCCATACCAAGTTCCAGTACTCTATCACAAATATTTCCTAAGATATGCAGTATGAAAAATTCCGTTCGTGTGGGAGGTGCTACGCCCCTTCGTCTAATCGATATTAAATCTATCTTATATTTTAAGTTGGGATTAATGGCACCAGTGCAGAAAATTTCATGGTGATCGGTTGAGTAGTTAAAGCGTGAAAGCGTAATAAACAAACAAACTCACTTTCGGATTTATAATATTAGTAAGGATATGTTTTTTTACAGTGCGGGAGGATTTTAATGATATCAGCGAAAACCGGTACAAAAATCATTTGTTTACTGTGTCCATTTTATTTCAAAATCCCAAAATTTCTTTCATTTACAGTCCCCAATACAATAGCCCTATATTTCTTAAAAATAAAAATAACAAATACCCGGCGTTGTAGTTGTAGCCGCTGGGGTTCAGTGGACATGCGAAGATATGCTGTGAGGCATGGGGCGTCTCTCCGCATGCCGGGCATTCGTTTAGAACATCTTCGTTTATTCTGCTCAGGTATGAGTTCAGCCTGCTGCAGTAATCAGAGCGCAGTAGGGCTATTGTGGTCAGAGTCTCCCGGGGCAGACGAAGTTCTGTCTCGTCCACGTCTGGTGGTTGTGTACCCAGAACGGCATTCACAGGTCGAGAGTCTACATAAATCGAGACTGCCTCTCTGTGAATGCCGTTGAAGGCCTGTCGATAAGCTGACGGGCCCAGAGGATGCTTGGTGAACCTCTGGACTTCGTCCGTCAGTTCGTAGAGATGCCTCCTGACGTGCCTGGGTGAGGGCTCTTCTGCAAGCAGTTGTCTGTTTGGGTGACCACGTCTGTGGCTGCCAACTAGAAACTGTTTGCAGAGCATTGTTGTATGCTCCTTACCTGGAAGCATATAGGCCTCGTCCTGCAGGTGATGTTGCGGCGACATCAAAAGGCATCCTGTCACTGTCCTGAGTGCCGTGTTTTGGCAAGTCTGCAGCTTTATCCACTGCGTCCTACTAGTGCCTGGCGACTACACGGGCGCTACATAGTTAAGAACCGGCCAGCCAATCTTTGCCCCAGGTGCTGCCGGCTAGCGACTTGAAGACCTTGTTGCGGCTTTGTACTTTGTTGACATTTGCGGTTGTTTGCGCCGAGAAGGAGAGCAGACTGTCGAAGGTTACTCCGAGGATCTTCGGGTTGTTCACTGTCGGAATTAGTTTGTCATCGACATGAATTCCCAATTGTAGTCTGACCTCCTTCGTCCAGGTGGTAAACAGTGTGGCTAAGGATCTTATAGGGGAGAGGGTTAGGCTCCGTGCAGTGAAGAAAAGAGAAACGACCACTCAGATAAATCGCCGACCACCGTTTGAGTACATGTGGAAGAGAGGCCTATATGTCTTCTAGTAGCGTTGAATGGCTGAGTGTCGAACACCTTAGACAAGTCCAGCGCTACTAGTATGGTTCTCTCACAGGGGCGGTTTCGGTTTAAGCCACGAGTAATCTGGGTATTTATGGCGTTAAGTGCTGTTGTTGTGCTGTGCACTTTACGGAACCCATGCTGATGCCTCGCTGGGATCAGGTGGTGCGTATAGTGCGGCAGTAGAAGGCCCTCAAGTGTCTTCGCTACCGAGGAAAGGAGAGTTATCGAGCGATAGGACCCTCCTTTGTTGGACGGTTTCTCCGGTTCAAGCGGTGGGACCACTCTCCCAATTTTCCAGATGTCTGGAATGATGAGAGTGGCCATTGACAGGAGGACCTTGGTTACATAATCTACTCCCGCGGGACCCAAATTTTTCATCATCAACATGCAATTTCTGTCGGGTCCAATGGCTTTGGGGTTTTCGCCTTCCCGATGGCTACCCTTATCCCACCGCTGGTGAAAACAAGAGGCGCACTAGATGTTGGCAGTTTGTGCAGCCTTCTGCTCACTCGACGTTAAGCTTTATCCGCCGAAGGACCGGGTAAAATAGATCGCGCATCGCATAGGGTCCGACGAAGCGTGGTCACCAAAGTCTATTTTAACTCTGTCGTCACGCTTCGTCGAAGGCGTTGTTGCCGGTCTTCAGATGCTCTTCCCATTTCTTCCGCTTATGAACGTTCACAAGTTGCCGAATCTCCGCGTTGAGATCCCTGATAAGGGGATTTCTGGGATCAGCCTGACAAATGTTGTCACGCTCATCGGCTAGGACAGCCACTTCAGCAGGAAAATCCGGACGGGGGTTCGAAATACATTCCACTGGAACGAAGCGGGCTGAAGCAGCAGTGACAACCCTTCGGAATTTACGCTAACCTACGTTGACGTCGGTTGGTGCGGGTAGGGCAGTGAAGGCGCTTTCAGTAACATCCGCGAAGCCTTTCCAGTCAGCTTTGGAAAAGTGGACGTAGGTCCGGTAATCCGCGGAAGCGGATGGTCTGATGCTAAAGTCAGCATAGGTCACCATGATATGCCGTTTATATGGTGGGTGCGTCGTCGTTCATTGTGCAGAATGTTGAATCATCTATCTACTCAGAAAAGTGTGTTCTACTACGATAATTCGACAGACTTGAATGCCAAAGATCGTTGTGCGCGTTAAAGTCGCCCGCGCTCGCAACAAGCGTAACGGCAAGGACCTTTGGATCAAGATCGGTCCAGAATCCTTGTAGATCCTCCGTCGCAAAGCCGGCCAAATAAGGTATGCATCGGTCACCTTAGGGTGATCATCCCCGATGCTGAAAGAGAATCCAAAAGCCTAAAGGTGGTGCATCGGAGGATCTTCTGCTCTTCATGGGTGAGGAAGATGTGGACGTGGCCCTAATACAAGAACCCTTGCTAGTGGCGGGGAGGGTCACAGGTCTGTCCACTAGCGACTTTCTACTTCTCACCCCACAGACCGAAGGTAAAATTAGAAGCTGTATTCTGGTTAAGAAAAGCACTAATATTCTCTTTCTTCCCCAATTTAGCGATTCGGACATGACAGTGGCAATGTTGGAGCAGAGGGAAGCACCCGACCTCATCCTCGCATCTTTATACATGCCATACGATGTACCCGATCCCCCGTCAATATCCTTCAGGAAACTCACCGCTTGGGCGGAGCAACGAAGGATAAATATGGTGGCTGGCTGTGACGCCAACGCTCACAACACGGCGTGGAACAGCTCGAACATCAACGATAGAGGTGAGTCACTCTTAAGTTACTTATTATCCAAAAAACTTACTATCTGTAACAAGGGTACTCACCCCACTTTCTACAATA